GCTAGGACAAATTCAACTGAGATATGTCTCAATTTTGTAACAGTGATGTGACACTTTCTTACACATTCTAAGTATTAACTACTCAGTGCTAAGATCTGATAGGCGTGGGGGGGTTGGTTGTTTGGGTTTTGTTTTTCATAAATGGCTTCTTTTTCATGGGCTGTTCAGTAGTTTATTTGTGCTGAAAAATGTAAACTGTCCATCACAAACATTTTTGTTGAATCCAATGATATGAATAAAACTATGTTTGAGAAGAATCTGCAGAATCTACTGTAATACAGAAAAAACTTCTACAGAACTAAAAAGACTACCCAGAACTAGCACAGCTCATTGCCTTGGGGAATTAGAGAATGGTCTTGAAAGACAGAAAATTTCAGCTCCAAATCTATCAAAAAAACGTTTGTTTTCTTAAATGCACTCATTATTACAAAGCACATACCAAGAAGAACTAGACTAAAACTTAAATAATTCAAATAAATGAATCCTGGAAAAAGTTATCACGAGCTGAGCAAGTATCTGAATGTACAGCACCTCAGCTGGTTATTTACAGACAAGCTGCTGTTCTGTGCTAAGAGACATCACATTAATCATGAGGTGAAGCCAGGCATGTAGGAAATTACCAGAGAACACCTAGAAAATCCATACTGCACTTTATTCATGAGGTCTGCTTTATATGCTAATAACTTACCACATATTTTGGAAACAAAAGTTCCTAATTAAAACAAACTTCTTCTCCAAAGTCGCTGCAGCTCTGGATGCATGAGCACATTATTGTAATGAGCCTCTGTCTGCTCTGAGGGAAGAGGTGTATGAACAACAGAGGTGTGTGAACAACAGACTCAACAGTCAGAGACAAAACCATGCATGTTCTTTGCACACACTGCACTAGCAAACTGTGTAAACACAGCACCATAAAGAGCAGAAATGCAGACTGAACTCTAGTGATTAAACCATGCCCCAGTATAGACATATACCAGCTCACATAAAAGGAGATGGATACCTGATCTTCACTTGTGGTTTGAGGCTTACACCCAGTGTCTTTGAAGACACATAAACACACATTTAATTCAACCTGGAAAAGTCACTTGTCAGCAACCAGCATTAAGATAACTTGAGAACCAGAGGAAAAAAACAGCAGAATGACTTTGTGCAGGAATGCTTGTATGTGACTGCATCAACATGTTGCTTGATGCAGGCTAAAGAAAGGTCAACCCAGGGCCTTGAAACATAAACATACAGGAAGCAACTGTTTGCCTTTTAATAAAAGTTCCCATAAAAATAGTTACTTTCCTCCCAAACTAGCGTCACTGCTGAAGAAGAAATAATCCCAAGACAGTACAGTGGGGCTCAGGCTAACTGTGAGAGCCTTCCACAAAACCCATGACAGAAATTCCTGCTGAGTTCAACAGGGCTTCGTCTTCACTTGTGCCTTTGCCTCAGGTCTGCATCACTGGGCATCTCTCTGGGCTACAACTTGAAAACATTTGAATGCTAAAGCAGCAGTAAAAGCAGTGGCCTAATTTGGGAGCAGAATGCCTTACTGCAGTGTACTCCTGCCTGCTGCCTGGAGCCACACTGCCGGCGGGAGAGCTTCCAGCTTCCAACCTCCCTGTGAGAAGCCTCTTCCCCACTTCTGATGTTCTGAAAAAACAAAGTGCTGCACAATGCTGGCACTAACTCACTCTCAGTTTAAAGGCTGGAGATACATAAACATACTAAACCATAGGTTTATTTCCATTACAGTGGACAGTGAATTGTTAGAGGCTGTACCTATAAACCTTACAGTTTCCCTTACAGAACTATGGGAAATAACACATTTTACAGCTATGCAGGCAACAACAGAACACTTTGCATTGCTACAAAAACAAATGGAGTAGAGAAACAAGCAATTCAACATGAAATGCTACAAAATATATATTTTTCTTTGCAAAGGAGGTGAGAAAAGCACAACCCTCCAGCATCTCCTATTTTCATCATCAACTATTTTCCCAATGTCCATAAAATCCCTAGCAAGCAATAAATCATTATGCAACCAAGATGCTGTAAAGATAATTTTTTTCTGCAGCTTTTCATCATAATTTGGTAAGCAGGTCAAAAGGAACTACCATTTTTGGGGAGGAAGATTTCTCTCTGCGGGGAGACTGTCACCCTGCACAGCTTTGGTAAAACATGATTCTGCTATCTTTATTCTGCTTTAATGCTGCAGATAAAACCGATATAGCTTCAAACCACATTTCAAATTTGAGGTTAAAATCATATATTTATTTCAGAATAGAAATCATATTTTCAGCAACTCTATAGAGGACAATCCTGCAATAGTTACAGAAAAATGAATTACTGGTCTAGTTTTTTGTTAATAATGATAATAAAAAAGTCCTCTTTCTCTCACTGTCACAGACATCTCTAGAGACATCTTGGCTTCAAACTGCCCCTTTTCTTCAGAGACTGTTCAAGTGCAGACCATTCTGAACACCCACAGTTTGAGCCTGAGTCCCAGCACGGCAGCAGGTTACATCCAGGACAGCACTATGTCACTCCACAAAGACATTACCACAGCTCCACACACAGAACCAAGCAGAATTTCTGTATTTCGTATATAGAATTCCAATAGCATTAATTACAATAAATTGACGAGTAAGCAATCTACCACATACATGCAATTACAGCCACAATGTATGTTGCAAAAGAGGAATGCAGGTTGATTAATAGCCTTTGCTATATAAAGCTGTCTTTAGAAGGGGGTTGTGATTACCAAAGGGATTGACCTTTTTGAAATAAAACATGCAGTGGGGCTGGAGGTACAGACTCTTCTGACCCAGGCAGGCTGCAGAAGGCACAGCTCACAGCAGCGTGGGCTGCTGGCCCCAGGACTTGGTGAGGGAATGCTGCCACCCCCTCTGGGGACTCTCACAGACATCTCTTCCTGTCACACCAAAGACGATTTTAGGATTATGGCTTTTTACAGCAAATGTACTTGGAACCACAGCCTAACTCCAGCTCCCAATAACTGAGGGCAGGCAGGAGGCAGCACGAGGCAGATGTGACAGACCATGGGGGTTTTAAGGTTTATTAACAGGAAATCCTTTGTACCTACACTCAGGAGTGTACAGAGCACACAGCCCCGCTGCACCCAAAATCCCTGAACATTAGACTGAACTCCAACAGACCATGGCTGGGTGAACTGTATATCCAAAAATCTTTTATAAAGTCAGTGGTACTACCAGGGATCTGTGTTAAGAGTCCAAGTAATTAGCCCTGGTTTTGTTGGACATTAGAATTAACCTCAAAATGTTTTTAGTCAGAGAACAAGAAGACACAGCCTCAAGTTGTGCCAGGGGACCAAGCATTGGAACAGGCTGCCCAGGAAAGCGGTTGAGTCACCACCCCTGGAACTGTTCAAAAAAATGTGTACATGTGGCACTTAGGGACATGGTTTAGTGTTGGATCTGGCAGAGCTGGGTTAATGGTTGGACTCAAGGATCTTAGAGGTCTTTTCCAGTCTAAACTATTTTACAATTCCTTACCAACTGGAAAGTCTTATTTGCAAAGACATTAAATCCATAGTAACTCCTCTGGAAAGAGTCACTATAGAGCAAAATTTCTGTTTGTTGGTTCTACAGTTTTGATTTTGTTGAGAAACCACCATTCCAAGTGCTATTTGGGATATTCAGGCTCAGAGCTGTATCACCTGCCTGCCACAGGCTAGAAGCCATCTGCTGGCCATGAATTGGTCAAAACAATTCACGACCCCAAGGACTATTTCATTTCCCCATGGCCAAGCAAGGATTAGCTGCTCTCCATGTGGACTCGTGTGCCCGCTCTCAGCACCAGCTGAGGACGTGCCTGTGCTAAGCCCATTCTCTAACCCCTCTCACTGTGTCCCAGGTCACCCATCCCACTCTGGGCAAGCTGGCTCCCTGACCTGGCTCCCTCAAAGTAACCCCCCAGGCCAGGTGAAACTCTAGAAGCAAAGAGTCTTAACACCCAAACCAGAAGTTCCCATTCAGCACTATGCAGACACCAACTTAGAGATTCAAAAAAATTTCAAATTAGAGGTTTTTATTCCTTCACTGTCAATTTGAGATTTTTCTGAGCCTTTCAATTCAGCAAAACATTTTGATACTTGGACTTTTTCGTTAGTTTGGGCTGAAAGCAATGTTTAAATAGCATTTCCCTCAGGAAAGATTCTACTCTTCAGTCCTTTCTAGATATTATTTTAATCATGACTCTTTTAAATAGAGTGAAATGGCCCAGCTAAGCATCAAACTGGGAATTGTTAGAGAAAGTATACTCTGACTGTTTCTCCATTCCTAAAAAATCTATTTACAGGGTTGCAAAGGTATTTGCTTTTATACGCAACCAGTGTTTCTTTCTGCTCCCATAGCAATTTTGCTCTATAGATGAACTCGTACTTTAGGAAAGAGAAAATGGAAATACTTATTTTCTGCCCTTAGAATTAGTTTTCAACTTTGAAATGTTCTCAGTCTTCTGTTTATAAACAAGAAATGGTACAGGGTTCTTTAAGACCTACTTTCGTTTTACTGGGAATATCTCATGTTCCTTTTGACTTCAGCTTTACTATAAAAAGGTCCCTGAAATGCTTTCATAATCAAATGTATTATAGCTTAGATTCAAAAAATATCCAGCCTCCTACTTCTTGTGGGATCAACACTAAGTTATAAACCACGCAGACACTTGGAGTCAAAGCACTTCAATGAAGCTGGGCCCAATTCAGCAAAACACTGAATAATGTACTTTTGGCTCACCAAAGACAATGGGAATCAAACACAGGCCTGAAGTACTATAGGTCTGGATATGCTTAACCACGCATAGCACAGAGCTAAGTACGTTTTCCTGTAAGCTGCCTTGGCTCATTTGCCATTCCTATCCAAAACGGACATTCTCAGGAAACTGAAGAAAAAAATTGGTCCTTGTATCTACATAATTTATAGAGTTCGAATACTTGAACTTCCACATCTGTTATGCCACTAGGTCAAATAAAAGTGGTTTCTTAATATATCTATGAATGTAATATCTGTAAAGAAATGCCATTTACCGTGTAAGAAAGGAACTGCTAAAAACTTTCCTCTGTCCCAGTTATTTCAGATCAAAGCTATACAGTGAAAACCTGCTAAAAGGGAACCATATAAAGCATAAACCTGTTAGGCAAATCAAAGCAGCCAGTGGTAAAATGATAAAATACTAAAAAACTATTTAAAAATTGCATCCCTAAGACTCTCAGCTAGATGAATACATATTTTAATACTGCTTGACAAAGTGTGGTGTCTCTCATTTTTCTTCTACTACATAGTGTGAATAAAGAAATTATTTTCAGGGATGAATCTGTTCACCAGTGCATTCATTTTTCTTTGGCATATTGATCTCAACATTCCATTCTTCTGATATGAAGAATATGAAGAAGCTTTATGCACAGAATTTTGAAGCTGGAACCTAAGGTTTTATTTACCCCCATGTCATAGAAGATGTTTCCCTATCGTTCTTGTATCCTGGCCCCTAATCCTGATTCCAGAGAGGATGGTACACAGCAGCACCCCTTTAACATCCTACCAGTTATTTGTTCAGTAACTTTTAAAGCTTTGGAAACTTCTGTATGTTCCCTGAGGTACAGGAAAGTCTGCTTTTTCCTGAGTCTAAGCAGAAGTATCCCTTAAGAAGCTGTATGTGACCATTAAATCATTAAATAAATATTGTGACTATATTTCATTATTAATAATAAGTAATTATGTGCTCTTTTCACGAATTTTTAATAATGTAATCATTTACATTTTATTAATATATTTTTAATTTCCCTAAAATATGCAGGTTCCTTATTGGATGCGAACAGATTTGATTTACCAGTTGATAACCCAGCTCACAGTCTTTCTTCACAATTAGCTCTTAAATTGAATGAGCAAAGAAAGGAGGAGTGCGATTCTCAGAGGCAATTCTTTCTAATAAAAAAGCAAAGAACAGTGTGTATTTCAAAAAGTTTTGTGATCTAAAACAATGCCAAACAGTGAAGTTCTATCACATCCTGGTTCCCTGTACATTACCCCTGTTTACAGGTCCTGTCTTTCTGGGAGCATTATGATGTATTCCATGAGATGTGGGCACAAGGTGCCTCGGCACCTTTTATGGCTCTGCACCCTAAACTGCACAGTGCCAGTAATTAGGCACACACACAACTGCAAATCAGATCTTCTATATTCACAAGAAAAAATATAAGGAGGCAACTTAGAGACAGGATAGCACTGAAAGTTCTGAACTCTAATTCCAGTATTACCCCCATTTAAACTGCATGACTTGGAATGCCTGCTTCCTCAAAAAAGAGAGGCAGGATTAAAGAGTGAGTTGATTTAATAATTAATAATTAATTAATGAAGACTCCAGTCTACCTTTTGTCGGGATACAATCTCTACACATCATACTGAATATAAATATACTGCATATTTCAAGCATTAGTGAACAAAATAATCAATAGGTTCTCTGGAATTATCAATCTAATTTCAAGACAAGCTCATTACTACCACTACCACCTGACATCAGTGGCAGTGGTTTATTAAGCTCACCTGAATGAAAAGATGGAGTTTCTGCCCACCTGCACATACTCACATTCAAGCACATTTTCAAGTAAAAACTACTTGTGTCCTCTGTTCTCCTCAAACATGAGCTTTGTAGCAGGAAAGAGGCTCTTGCCTCCTCCCAGTAGAGAAAACTATTGGTTCTCTTGCTTCACCACTTCATCTCCTCTTCCAAACACAAACTCACATTCAGCTTCATCCAGTTTACTCAAAAATTAAATCAGTTAAAAATTACAGATATTTTCACATGACCTTTGGGAAAATCAAGCCTATAAAGACAATGTGTAATGCATAGATTATTAATCTAATGCATTCATGTAATTCATATAAATGCCTTGCAAAAATAACCAGAAGATCACTCACACCTTTGCTACTTGCAAGTCACCTACAATTTTCCATGAAAAATTTGTTTCCTTGTTATTACTGTTAGTCTTATGTTCCTTTTAGTCTTATGTTCCTTTTATCACCATAATAAACTGCCTTTTCCAGGAAAACTTTATCATTCTCGTCTGCTGGCCATAGCAGAAAACCATTTCACTTCTACAGGAGGGACATGTGCTTATTTTCAGGTCAAGCAATCAGTTCTACATGTTACACGTCATCTGTTGCATCTCCATCCATCACTGCTGGCCTTTCCTTGCCATGGGACAACCCCATCAGGCACTTTTATTATCATAAACCCACACTATGCTAAGCATAACTAATGTTAACCACACACTTAGTTTTTTAGTAACTTATTAGGTATGTCATGTAAGCTAATCTGCTGTAAAATATTCATCCCCCTAAAGGGATTAAAAGAATGACATGCTGCTGTTGTGGAAGTGTGAACTAGAAAAGTGCTGATTTCTCCGACAGGCCTGGGTGGCTTTTGTGAGTTCAGCCACATTAATGTATGGAAAGTAGAGGTTCCATGCTCTACTTTGGCTACAACATGTCAGTCTATCCCATTAAAATTATCTATGACTTTAGTCAGCAAAGATAAGTACCTTATCCTCCTGCCTCTGATCTTAAAACTGTATTTCATTGGATTTCATCTGGGGAAAGACTGGAAACACTGGACAGGAGGTTGAGTAAGCATAAAATTAATCAAAACCCCTTCTGAGTCTCTGTGTGTTGTATTTCTTCCTCTACCATTACTAAATCCCTATTATTTGTGTCAGCCATGTAAGCAAATTTTAATCTGGAAAACTGACTGAACACCATGGTATTTCTATTCCTTATGCTATAGATAAGGACACTAAAAGAACTGATGGAGACAGGGCACATTCTCCTTCTGGTAGATCCCGGATATTAAGGACAGCAATTTTTTTAATGATATGGATATATGTCCTACTAGCTATTTTCACATTTTAGGTGTCAAAATGAGTAAAACAGATATTTTTGAAGAAGGAATTAGAAGTCCATTTGCTAAGATGAAGGCACTTAGCATTCCTGTCATATCATATTTTGTTAGGAAGACCAGTAAAGAATGACAACTGTTAGACACTGTTCTTATTTCAAAACTTACTAATAAGTTATTTTTCTATCTCAAAAGACTTTGGAGTTCCTAAAATTCTGTCAGAGGAAGTCGTAATAGCTTCTAAGTAACCAAAATTTTTTGTTTCCATTCCTGTCACCACTGAACTTGAGAGGGAAAAGGTTATATGTTGTGGGAGGCTGACACCATATGTGCTTCCTCTATAAAACGCAGTTCCATTTGGGATTGATTTTGTAAGCAAATAGTGCAGATAGGGTGATAAGCTGTAAGCACATCACCCACTGTTTGAATAATTACTTACCAGACAACATTTCTGTCCCCCACTGTTCTCACCAGTCATCAGTAAGGCAGAAGGAAACTTGCAAACACCTTCTGACTCTATTCCCTAATTATAAAACCTCAAGATTATTGGTCGGGGTTTTTTACCCACTTGTGAGCCCACTGTCATGGTTTTGCTCTGGGTCAATTTGCTCTCACATCCCCCACACAATTACTGTAAGTTGAGAGAAGGTTTATGCAGACAAAAGAGACTGGATTTGGGAAAATAATATTAACACTTATTATTAGCAAGCTAAAACTAAAGAACTATATCTGCAACAGTTCTACTTAAATAAAAGTACTATGTATTTACAGAAATACCTCTCCCCCCTTTTATCAGTCCAAGGAGGAGAAGTAGTCTCTTCCGCTATTCTCGGAGCTCCAGGTCTTTTCAATAACTCTGCACCACTCTCGTTGCAGCTGGAACTCTTTCATCTCTCTTTGTCAGCTCCAAGGCTGTGCCTACCCCCTTCCGGGGCTAAGATCGGAGGCTGGGAGCTTACTCAGGCCTTGAAGGTCTTTTCTTCCATAGACTACAAGGGGATACTTGCCTACCATGGATCTTCACCACAGGGTCACCGGGGATAATGGCTTTGAGTCTACCCCTGTTCCCTGTGAGGTCCCTCCCCACAGGAGAACAGTCCTTGATAGACCTCTCTGACATGGGTCTAGCATGGATCCCACGCATGGATCCCACTTCCTTAACCCAAGCTGTTCTCGCTCCGGCATAAGTCTCTTTCGCAAGGTCACAAATCTTCAGCAGCAGCATGGATCCCACACACGGATCCCAACATCCCACCTGAGCCATCTCACTCCAGCGTAGGTTCTCTCAGGGTCACAAAATCTTCAACAGGACTCTGCCTCACCTCAGGTTTCTCATAAAGTCTCGGCTTCTTCATGCATCAACTTACTCCAGTGTAGGCTCCTCCACGAGCAGCATCGGGGTCTCTTTACCCCAACAAACTTTCACAGGTAGCAGGAATTTATTTTTCAGTCTTTTCCCTGCTGAAGGGAGAGAGCAAAAGGGGGAAGAAGCAGCCCCCCCCTTCAAACTTCTCTCCCCTGCTGCAGCTTTGGCCTTGAACACTTCCTTATCTCTCTGCTGGGATTCTTCTGCAGTGGTTTTTGTCCAAGCAGTCAGTCTTCTAAAGTTTTTTTCCTTTACTCTCTTACAGGAGAAAAGGGGGGCTTCAGTGCCACACCTGCCCCCGGCCCAGGGCCGGGGGAAGAGGGAGGCCTGGCTCCCACTTGGGGCTTGCCGCCTCTCCTACATGGCTACCGCTCCTAATTGCAACTGCGCAGCAATCTTCTCTTCTGTTTTCTTAAATATGTAATTAGTAAAGGCGTAACTAAACTTTTGATTGGCTTTTCCTTCGGAAATCCACCTGGACAAAACCATCCTCAGCCCCAGGAGCTGGCTGGTGGGCAAAATCACGACACCCGCTCATTCATCTCACCTCACTAGTGAGCCATGTGGAGGATGCAGTGCAAGCCAAGACTGTCTTTCTGCAATGTCTGTAATGCTCAGCTGCCCAAAAAACAAAAATACCAAAAGAAAGCATATCTTTAAGTCTGTTCCACTGAGCTGTGTTCACTTACAGCTCCCATTGAAACTAAATCTCTCAGATAAGCCATGCAAATAACAATGCAGCTGCTTCTTTCTATCTCCTGAAAAAAAAATACTCTTTTCATTTTGCAGTATTGGGAACATTCCATAGAGTCACCTTTTTATACCCTGCAGCTTCTGGTTCCATTGTCAGTGTTGGTGCTGCCATTCTCTGCCTCTGCTTCCTTAAGGTTCCCCTTTCTCTACCTCCACCACCAACCAGCACTTGTCAGATCATGGCATTTATTTTAAAATCCTTTCAAATCTTACCAAGTAACAGATAATCTTGCTGTGGTCATCGAGTATCTGCACTGATCTGCCAGGCCAACACAGCAGATGTTGGGCTGTGCTAAATCTGTGAGATTGCATCTGGCCAGCCCGTTTCCACAAACCTCAGCATTTAACACATGTAACTACTGTTTTAAGGGCAACTCCATAACATAGCTTCTGAAATTACATTTTCCCAATACAAGGGTTTCCTTAATAATATGTACCATTTCAAATGTGCTTTCTTCTCAAGCCAGAGTCTTGCATGACCTTCCTCCAGATCAGCACTATTTATTTTTTCTGCATGCCAGGGAAACATAGCAGAAAGGGTAAGAAAGCTGGTGTAACTAATAAAACAAGTAAGAACCGTGTAGCACAATTTATCTTCTTGGATAGGAAAAAGTCTCAGGAGAGACTTAATTCTTGGGGAGTGGTGATCATTTCACTTTTCCTCCTAAGGCTTTTCTCACATTGCAAGAGAATTTTACAAGAGGAGAATGAATCTTCAGTTGAACTTTAACTACAGGCCATCAGATTACAAGCTGAAGGAAAGGGAGAAGGAACATGACAACACTGCCAGTTCTTTTTGCGGAAGACCTGCAGCATCTCACTGCAAATGGGATGTCAATCCTGTAATTAGCAATTCAGTCAGCATTAATTGTGTGTGTGTTACTTCCCATCAATCACTGTCATTTCCATGTAGTCAGGATGTTTTATACAACCCAATTTGTAAACAATGTGCAAAAGTTTAACCCACTTTAAATTAACATTGTCAGACATGGCACATAACCTTCCATGAATATAACTGCGTGCAATTGTGTTTTGGCTCCTAAGTAGGGAAAGGGAATGTTTTAGCTATTTTTTTCTATAAATAAACTTTCAGTAGGACCTATCTTAGTAGGCCATAAGGGGAAAAAAAGCATGCATTAAAGGCCATTAGTCCACATGTAAAACCACTGTAACCAACCTGTAACACATACTTTCTTGTCGAGAGTAACACAAAACTGAAAGAGCCAGGAGAGAGAGAGTCAAAGGCACAGCTCATTCCAGAAATTCATATTTTATGAAGCAATATCTATTCTTGATTTAAGATGTGTCCAGCGAGACATAATCCATGGCTTCCCTGGCAACTGGGGGTCCAATTGTTAAAAAAAATATTGAATCCCTTAGCTCTTAATTTGCAAATTTCAAACATCAGAACTTGCTTTATTTTCATCTGATAGATTTCAGAAAGCCCTCCATAGGAAAATTATATTTGTCCTATATTATGAGAACATATAAATTATATTTCTCATATAATGACTGCTGAAACCATCTTTTCACCTTAAATTCGATAGATTAAGTAGATTGAACTCCTGGAACTCTTCCTCTTTAATAACATTTTTTCCTATGCTTTAATTATTCCACTGGCTCTTTTCGCTGGTGATCAACAACCTTGCTGAATTATGAACATTAGTCTTCCACTGGGAGACCTCTGAAAGTGCCAAATAAAACAAAACTTCTATTTAATATTCTCAGGATTGCATTAAAATCTTTGCTGCAAATTGCATTCTTCCTCTCCTATACCATATCCACTTCTGACTCAAAATTAATTGCTCATCCATTCCTTGTGAGCCACTTAGATCCTGTGCTTAATATGAGCCCTTGCTTCCTTATTTATGCTGCTCACTGTGAGATTCATAAACACTGAAGCACAACAGTCATCAGAAAACTTTTCATGTGTCTAAAAGAACGTCATGAAATGAAATGAATCACAGACTGTGACTTTGTCTTCAGCTGTCTCCTCTAGAGAGCTCAGCCTGGACCACAAACTGGAACTCTTGTGTAAAGCTGCCAAAAATGCAAATGCCAAACTGGCTACCAGCTTTTCTTTCACTTAACTCCAAGCTTAATCTAAGAAGCATATACATTGTACATCCTAGGCACAGTTTGCACAGTTTTAGGTCAACTATCTGTTTAAAAGTCTATCTCTTTAATAATGGGTTATTTTCGTAACAGAAAGTATCTGTGTATAAAAGTCGGCAGAAACAGAGGGACATCTTTTCACATGTGGTAACTTCTGCCTTTTTCTTACCCCCATTTTGGACCACAAGTCACCAGGCCAGGAATGCTGCATAGAAATGTTCACACCTCACTGTGTGGCTTCGAAGACAGAGTTAAGTTGATGCACCTCACTGATCCTCTAAAACCTGGGACTTTCATTTTAGCACATATATATATTTTCTTTTGATAATCCAGCAGATATGCAAGGACCAAAAGCTGTGCTGTATCTGCCTAAAGTCTAGTGCAGGTACCGTATTCATGGCCCCCACTGCCATTATGGCTTATTGGAAGGTGTCCATACAAAGGAGATCACAAACCCCAAGGACTTCAGTGTTTCAAAGCTTTCACCAAGGCCCTGAACTCTGAATTTTTATGTGGACATACAGCATTCTCTTGATTAAATGGCTAGTACAGTACAAACGAAAAGAACATGAATTTAAGATTAGGAAATCTGTCAAAGCACATGGGGAAAAGTTGAAATAAAGATGCACTGACTATGCTCACAAAACCAAAACTGAGATTTGAAATGGGATGGCTACAATCGAACTACCCAGCTCTCACAAAGCCTGATGGCTTTTTCTGTTCCCTGCATCTGGAACACACGTGTGTTTCACATCAGCACAACTGATTTTGTGCCATTTCTCCAAAGAGGCTGTTCTTTGCAGAATGAGCAATCTTCTCAATCATGCACATAGCTCATGGATGAAAAAAGGAAAGGAAGAGTCTTCCACCAAAGGACACAAACTATCCACACTGATACCTTAAATTATATTCCCATATATTCTAGGATGAAAGGTACACAGAATAAAACTTTGTATGACATGAGTAAAGGTTTTACTCACCTTCCCACCTAGCAGACAGGAACATTTAATTTACTTATATCTTCTGTATTCTGCTATGCATTTATATTTTACACTGGTTTTTACTGTTGCCTATAAATATCTACTGATTTAGCTATAAAACTCTCCTACAAGATTTGAAATCTACTTAAAAATATGGATGAAATAATGGAGGAGATGGTTGTACTGAAGAATAAAATTGAAAAGGCTAACAAAGTTTTGATGTTTAAGGGACTTATTGACAGCATTCATGGGAAGAAACAGGATTTATCAGCTCAGTAATTTACTGTGCACAATTTTTCCATTGGAGGTACCACAGCAAAACAAAA